TTTGACCCTAACTCTAACCCAAACTCCGACATTAAATGGAACCCCGATTCTAAACCTAGCCTTAACACTAACTCTAATCTCCCTGGAAATAGTCGCTAGGCCTCAGGAATAGGGGGAGAGTTTCCTGCTTCTGTGTCATGCTGAAATTGATTTTTTCACGTCATAGTATTCCCGGTGTGATATGTCCTTTGATGACTCAAATAGGCGGGCCAAACCTTTTTGGAGGCTTCAGTGCTATACCTCGGCGAATTACTTAGTTACGATCATGTTTCGTACCTTGCCTTGACACCTTCACGTCGGGTCTAAGACTAAGCTAAACCTTGACCAGGGGCAGTCAACCTTTCAAAGTCACGAAGACTAAATCACTAAAAAGTCAAGTGTTGCCTGCTTTAACATGCAAACCTCTCTACCAAGTCACTGATGCCAAACTTACCTAAAGGGCAAGGATTCACGAAATAGAAATTTCCAGTTTTTTCATCTGCTTTTTACACTGTAGGTTGCATGACTTTTTAACATTCTACATATAACAGGTTTCGTAAAAACAGATTTCCAGTTAAGGTTACTAACTCGCAGCCAACATGTCTCTCAAAAAGAAAACCCTTCCCACTCAACGCGGTTTTCAGCCGCAGTTTCGTCAATTTGCGTTTCTGTTGCATTTACCCAGACAGGCGGTTGAGTTCTGTCAGAGGATGATCGCTACAGACGCACCCACGTCAAGCGGTCCTTCTTTGACTGAAAAAATGCTTTTAAGACGCCAACCAAGGCTAGCGCTGAGCTGTCAGATTTCGTTTTCCTTCGTTCTGTCTTGGTCTTTCGACAGCTCCTGGGTCCTCCTACTGTGGTTGGGACTTCCCTCGTCCGCTTGATGAGTACAGTCTTTTTAGTGGGATGGACAGGTTGTCAGTCAACCCAAATAAACGAGTCATATAGTCACTGCACTTAAATGACAATGTTTCTGTTCCTCCTATCCCGAAACAAATGTAGCTAAAGATACAGTTTACTACTGGGGTTAATGAAGATATGGACTAAATTAATGAGGACTGTCTAAATCACCATAGCAAACCTTAGGCATCTGATTCAACCCTTGCGTCCTGAAAAACCTGGCGGATTCAGAGTACGCGTCCACCTCCTTTGCGTAAGAGTCTAAAGTGAGAATGCTGGCACCATAACTTGTTTATAGTAGACAAACTGAAACCCACAAAACCCCGTAGGAAATACTTTCGAACTAGGAAATGAACATACGGTCGAGATGTCCTCCTACTAGATACCCTAGAATAATCAGGTAATTGCTGTTTAAAGTCCCATGTAAGTGGTGTACATCGATCCACCCCGACCGAACAACGGAACACGGCGTCCAGTTTTGCGTTGGGGTTTCGATCAGGAGACCTCAGAAGCGGACGTGTGGCAATGAGCGGTTGGACTGCGATCGGAGGGCTACCCCAGTCCCCATCCCTTTTTCAGGTAATATCTGTGGTAGACGCTCACCGATCGTTTTTACGGAACTCACTCGTCCCGTTGTGCCTTAGGGCCCTCTCTCTAACCCAGCCAGCAGCCGAACAACGGCGGATGATGGAGGCAGAATTTTACCACCGACAAAGGCAAGGGAGATTGGAATGAGCGGTTCTGACTCATTGGCCGTTGTCGGTCAGTCATACCCACTCCCGAAGTGTGGAACACCTGATAATATCTCTCATTTACCGATCAGTCGTCACTAAATAACAGCCTGTGAGGCATAAAGGAACGTCTGAATTCAATCGTGCAATCGGACCGAGTCGGTAAGCGTCAATTTTGCGGGACCGTATTGTGGAATATGAAATTCGGAAACATATATCTTTCAAGCAACATTTTGCCGATATCTCAGGACTCCTATTGTAATATCCTAAGTATTGTAAATCACTTCCCGAACGAGACATGCAGAGTTGAACTACATTTAAATAAAGTCGACCAATTGCGGATTCTAGACCTCAGCTTTTCCTACCTGACGCCACAAAACTCCTGGCAATAAGCATAAAAGCACATCCACGAACATTTGCATATGTATTGCAGTCGCCGAGAACATTGTGCGACGTGTTACCAAAGACCGAGGTTCAAATATACGTATAATCTACAGTATGGTCCAGAAACCCATGAAAATGGCAGTTACACGTTTGGTGGACTTAGGTGAGAGAGTGGATCACTACTACTACTACTACTACTACTACTACTACTACTACTACTACTACTACTACTACTACTACTACTACTACTACTACTACTACTACTACTACTACTACTACTACTACTACTACTACTACTACTACTACTACTACTACTACTGCTACTACTACTACCACCACCACCACTACTACTAATACTACTACTACCACCACCACCACCACCACCACCACCACCACCACCACCACCACCACCGCCGCCGCCGCCGCCGCCGCCGCCGCCGCCGCCGCCACCACCATCACC